GGCATGGTGGTTCATGCCTATAACCCCAGCACTTTGGGTGGCCGAAGTGGGAGGCTCACTTGAGGTCAGGAGTTTGAGACCAGCCTGGCCAACATGGTGAAACCCCATCTCTACTAAAAATACAACAATTAGCCAGGCGTGGTGGTGGGCGACTGTAATCTCAGCTACTTGGGAAGCTGAGGCAGGAGAACTGCTTGAACCCGGGAGGTAGAGACTGCAGTGAGCTGAGATCGCACCATTGCACTCCACCCTGGGCCACAAGAGTGAAACTCTGTAATAAATAAATAAATAATAAAGCATATGGCTTTTTAACTGCATTTCCTAATGCATGTAGCAAGTCAGTACTCTGAGACATTGGGTTGCAGCAGAGAAAGAGGTTTTTTTTCGTTTGTTTGTTTTTTTATTTTCTTACACATTGCTACAAAGACGTGTCCAAGAGAAAGAGGTTTAATCGAAACTGTCTCCTCCTTAAAACAAAACAAAAAAAAGAGGTTTAATCATAGTGCCACTGCATGAGGAGATAGGAGGGACCTTCAACTCCATCTCCCCCTGGAGTTTGGTGCTGGTGTTTTCAAGTTTTGGAGTGGGCCGAACTGTAGAGATCATTGACTAGTTGAAGAATGTAGGGGGAGGTCAAGAGACAGGGAGAGGAAGAAGCTGTATTCTCATGTTGATCTTGTTCCTTTCTGGGGGCCTTCAAACTGGTTTTGCTGGAATTCCAGATCTGAAAAACATCTTAAGCAATCCTTAAACAAAACCCTTATAATTCTAATGTCAGAGATCTTGTCTATAGGAAAATGCAAATAAATTCCTAAACAGTCTTATGATCCTAATGCTAGCACAATGGGGATGCAAATGGTCAGGATCTGGAGACTTGTAGGAATAGAGCTGAGCCAAAGTGCAGCCTGGTTCATGCTTAATTATGCCTATATTTCTGCCCAGATCCCAGCATACAATTCTTGTCAGTCTTCAGACAGTTTCAACGTACCCTATTGGAAGTTTTTATTAATATTTTGATAACTAGAATGCAATACAATATTTTTTTGAGACAGAGTTTCACTCTGTCACCCAGACTGGAGTGCAATGGCATGATTTCAGGTCACTGCAACCTCTGCCTCCTGGGTTCAAGCAATTTTCCTGCCTCAGCCTCCCTAGTAGCTAGGATTACCGGCACCCACCAACATGCCTGGCTAACTTTCTGTATTTTTAGTAGAGATGGGGTTTCGCCATGTTTGGCCAGGCTGGTCTTGAACTCCTGACCTCAGGTGATCGCCTGCCTTAGCCTCCCAAAGTGCTGTGATTATAGGTGTGAGCCACCTCGCCTGGTGAATTTACATATATGTGTATGTGTGTGCATGCTTTATTAGAATGACGAAGGGATCTGTGGCACCACTAAGAACCGCTGCTGTAACCTCTCCCCTCATCTCTTTAAGCCTAGGGGTGATAATATCCCCTTCGGTTCCCTTACATAACACTCCCACCTTTGTAAAGAAACTTTGTCTCAAATTATCAAAATGTTTGGGTGCTGTTTGCTGTTGGGACCCTGACTGATACAGTGTGCATGTGTGTGTATGTAGGGAATTCAGGAGTGGGAAAGGCTGGGAAGAAATGGATCTCTACAACTCTATTTCTTTTCCTTTTCTTTCTTTCTTCTTCTTTTTCTTTTTTTTGGAAATAGGGTCTCACTCTTTCATGATCACAGCTCACAGCAGCCTTGACCTCCTACAGGCATGCACCACCATGCCTAGCTAATTTTTTATTTTTTTTGTAGATACGAGGGTCTTGCTGTGTTGCCCAGGTTGGTTTGGAACTCTCCTGGCCTTAAACAATTCTCCCACTTTGGCCTCCAAAAGTTCTGGGATTATAGGCATGAGCCACCATGCCCAGCATCTGTTTCTCATTCTAAATGAACAAAAGGGCATCCTGGAGTATGCATCAGAGTTTGAAGCTTGTTTAGTGAGAGGGCTGTTCCTGAGGCAAGAAAATAAGTCAGAATTTTGAGTCTGCAAGATGCACCCCTGTACAATGATGACCAACTCACCAAGGTTGATACTGCCATCAATCTTTTTTTTTTTTTTTTTTAAAAAAACAGAGTTTCACTGTGTTGGCCAGGATTGTCTCAATCTCCTGACCTTGTGACCCACCCGCCTCAGCTTCCCAAAGTGCTGGGATTACAGGCATGAGCTACCACTCCCGGCTTGTCATCATTCTTTTTAAAAATTCTCCGGCCGGGCGCGGTGGCTCAAGCCTATAATCCCAGCACTTTGGGAGGCCGAGGCGGGTGGATCACGAGGTCAAGAGATCGAGACCATCCTGGTCAACATGGTGACACCCCGTCTCTACTAAAAATACAAAAACATTAGCTGGGCATGGTGGCGCGTGCCTGTAATCCCAGCTACTGAGGAGGTTGAGGCAGGAGAATTGCC